GAATCCAGCCAGAAGCTGAAAGGAGACATGCGCAGTCCGAAAGTTGTCGAACTTCATAACCTAAGCAAAACCACCCCAAACCCCTGAAACCTATCTAACCCTCCTAGACTGTACTTAAGCAGCGATATTTATTGAACTTGAAACCGCCGCCCCCGCACCCGAAATGAATCCTCGGACTGACCCCCGAATCCCCTTCTAAGTGACTCAAACGCACTCAGACCCCCACCCGTGGCCCCGGCAACACACTGAAGAGTTTTTAGGTTTTGTTGGGGGGGATACCAGCAAAAGCCGGTACCACATACTCCGTAATCCCGAACCCTAAGCCCTACACCTAAAACCCGAAAATTCCAAACCCTCATCCCTAAGTTTAAGTGAGTCTAGACCGTAATACAACCCTAAACACCGACACCGAGGCTCGGCAAAAAAATCTCTGATGGACCTGTGCCAAGCGTCAGCCAAGCAGAGCGAGACAGAAACGAGAACGATGTCATGCTTCTGATGAGGGAGCGTCGCTTCCAGATCGTCGAGGCCAAGATGACGAACCTGCAGGCTGCATGGATGAAAGGGATCATCGGCAACGTTGCGGAAGGCAGCTTCATGATCCACACCTTCAGGCTGCGAGAACCTTCCCGTCAGGAGCCGGAAGTCGCTTTCAGCATCTGGACGTGCCAGATGAGCTGCACTGTGTGTTGCTTGGCTGCACTACTGTATTAGTTATTTAAAGCACTAAACCCTAAAACGTAAAGCGGAAACCCTAATTTCAAAGACCAGCAAACCCTCAAACATTGATTAAGAGCAAGGCCAGCGGCCATGCCCAGACATGACGAAGTGGCACTTCTACATGATTACGAGGACGCCGGATCAGTTGCATGAGCGTGCCACGTGTTATATCCTCAAAAACCTCACGGGCAAGAAGCAGAAGGGCAAGAAAGACGTGGACAAGTTCTTGGCGAAGCAGAACCTGCTGTTCGCAACCGCAGAACAAGCCGTCCTTTGGTCTTTTTTTGCTTCGCACGGCAATCTGGCAGCCCAGCGGTGCCCCTTGTTTTTTTTGTGTGTGTCAAAACACCCTAATCCTGCTACCATAAGCCTAAAACTTGGTAACCTGGGCTACCCAGGCAAGATGACAGAGCACATCATGATCGATCACTGCACCCTGAGCAACCCGGACATGCCCAAGATGATGCACACCCAGTCGCCAATGAGTGACTTCTACACCCTCCCCTCCGGCCAAGTTTGGGATGAGAAGTTTCGTCTGGAGGGCAAAGTGTCGCTGGACGGTGAGCAATGGCAGGTGTCTCTCCAGATGCACTTGGACAAGTTGGCCCGTGTGTCACAACGGGAAGCATTGCGAGCAGTGGAAAGGGAGATTGATTACAAGGACGGTTCCTGGGCCAGATTTTAGACACAATTACCATTAATATCTGGGCCGAAATATTTCATTCCGAGTATGTTGTAGGGTTTTCATTGGTGTGTTTGCGTGGGTTTCGAGGTGCAAGGGTTTAGAGTTTAGGGTTTGGGGCCCGGTTGCTTTTTTGAGTATACCCCTTGAAATTTGCATTGGGCCAGCGCTCAGCAAGAGCACATTGAGTATAAGGCCTGTCCCAGGTATCACGCCCATGTACGCCCGAATATGCCCCAGCACACCCGGGTACGAGCACGCACGAGTCTCGGACTCGGGTACACCCGGTCATACACGATCATATAGCTTGTCATACTCGGTCAAACACGGTCCCTCTTACACGGTCATACCCGGTCATACGTGGTCATACCCGGTCAGACCGTCCCGTGGTTTTCCGCACTCGCTGTTTCCCGTCACAGTGCAATTTTAGAATGGTTTTCGCCAAGGCGAGCTCGCCCGCTTGAAGCGCCGGCGCACGCAGATCCAGGACCAATTGAATGGCGGCAGGGGAGCGACGGTGCTTGCGTACACAGGAGCTGAGTCTGCAAAAGCTGACAATTGTGATTCGCCATCGTCCGATGCCAGTGCGGATGGTCATTTGGAGCAAGCAGCCGACGGGAATTGAGCGGCGGCAGTTAGCCCATGATGGCTTCTGACTAAGCGCTTTGCTGATCCGGGCTGGAGGCTGTTGGATCTCGGGCGCCTGGTCCCAATTTTTCTTTAGGCGAGATGGCGAGAACTGCAGGCATTCGCGCGGCAAAAGTGATTGCTGCAGAATGAATCAGTCGGTGTCAGTCTTCAATGATTCTCGCCGGGCCAGGTGTGTGCGTGGACTGGGGTGGCCGCGCCTTGCATGCACAGTGAGTCAACACAAAATGTGTCTTGTAGTGTTGTTCTTGTCAGATGTGTTGTTGTCTTGTTGTCCACTGAGGCGGGAGTGAGGCCGTTCACCAAAGTCGGTCGCGACAAAAACAAAGCTGCGATTGAAAACATTCCTGCTATTCTCACAAGGGTGGTCTTGTAGTCAGAGAGTTCAGGCTGCAGGGTTAGTTGTTTGAGGCTTGTGTTCAGGGTTGTGTTGAACAAGTTGGGTGTTCAGGGGTGACAACGGCCGCCGCAAGTTAATGATGCCAGGCGGGGCCAAGCCGAGCCGCCGAGCAGCTTCTGAGACGCGCAGAGACTGAGAGACAGACACATAAACTCGAATTCTCACGATGGCTCATTACGTGTCTGCAATATCACTCAATACCCGGAGTCCTCAATGTGCAGAAGCATGCAGACAGACCCATGTATGGTGCCGCCAAGATTGGAGAAAATGGGCTTGCAGAGGCGTTCACTTTGGTTTATTGTTGTGTTATAGTTGCCCTCAGTGCCCCGGGAGTTGTAAAAAAAGTATTGACTTTTTTTCTCTGGTCAACTCCAAAGCCGAGCTAAAACCCTAAACCCTAAACCCGAAACCCTAAACCCTAAACCCTAAACCCTAAACCCTAAACCCTAAAACCCTAAACCCCCTAAACCCTAAACCCTAAATCCCTAAAGTAGGCGCTGGTGTCTGATGTTCAACTCGGATCCCCAAAGCCCGGGAACGACATACCCGAAGCTCTAAGCCCTGAGCCCAAGGGTTTAGGGTTTAGGGCTTAGGGGTTAGGGGTTTAGGGTTTCAGGGTTTAAGGGTTTAGGCTTTGATGGTTTAGGGTTTAAACCCATACTCCAAGCCCAAGGCCAACAATCTTAACTCCCAAGCCTTTAGCCTTGGGGACTTTGGAGACTAGCAGTACGTAACGGCGATTTAGGTTCTTGCTCGGTCATGACTTTTTTCTAGGAATCTGGAGCGCATATGGTTTTGGGTTTAAGGGTTCAGGGTTTGGGGTTTAGGGTTTAAGGGTTCAGGGTTGATTATTGTATGTATATATAAATATAAATAAACAAATACATATATATATATATATATACACATACATATATATATATATATCTTTGTGAGCATTCCTGGCTGAATTGCCCTTTTAGGTATAGCACCAAAATATGCGGAGTCCCGATTCCCTGCTTTCAGGCTCGGTATCCTATGCACCTCTGAGAACGGCCAGTGCCAATGCCATTGCAAAGCGCATGATGCAACCCCGCCAATCACATCGAATAAAGGCCGTCATGAGGCTCCTAAACCCAAACTACCCCTCTGTGAAGTTGTGCAAATCCTTACTTTCGTCCTCCCCGAAGCTGTGCAAATCCGTACTTTCGTCAGGACGTCATCACCTCTGTAAAGGCAGGGTTAACTTCAAACACTTAGCGTCAGTTCAGAGTTTAGGGTTAATGTAGACCTGGTTGATATATCCCCCTGCTCTTATACCGACTGTGATGGGGATCCCAATATTCAGGCCCTTACAGCTAGACGGGATCTTATTAGCCAAGGCTCCACAGTATTCTAAGCCCTCATAAACCGCTGTAAAACCCTTTGGAGTTGTTTGGTGTTTTTGGCCGGGTTTGCGGTTTAGAGTTGTTTATGGTCGAGGGTTCGTTGGGGCTTAGGGTCCATACCGTTGCTTAGGTCCTAAGCCCGGCACAGGACGCCCTGCTGCCTCCGTTCACGCTGCTGGCCTTGGCCGCATGACCAATCTCAGAGCACTGAACCCTAAACCCCAAACCCTAAACCCTAAACCGTGGCATCCAACAGTCTCCATCCTTTTCCCTGCGTTTGGGGTTACTAGAGGGGCCCAATGAGTAGCAAGAGTATCCCTTCATGGTACATGTGTAGCAATAGTAGATATCTACCTCAAAACCTTCTTCCATTTCCCCGAAAAAGGTTCACTGTTTCGGCAGGAGTTTAGAGATTTTAGAGTTTAACTTGTCTGTTGGGACTCGACTCAAGTTGTCAAGTGCGTGCAGTGCGCGCAATGGTTTGTGTCGTCGACATTCTTTGGCTGCTGGCCTCTTGATCTCATAACAACGAGTAAGAACGACAACAGTAGTGGTAGTGCTACTGCGAAAAGTCACCAGACAGCTGACAGAGATAGTGCAACTAGCAACTAGTAATGGTGGTGCCAAGAATGCTCAGACTGAACCAGACACAGACTAATAGCCAACCCTGAAAACCGAAATCTGAACCCCTGAATTTTATCTTCACAGACGCTACCCTGACCCTTCAATCCTCAAACCCGAGAAATTGGCCACTCATCCACAACTCAAGCTTTTTTCCGTAAGCTTTCGCAAGCCTGAAACCTCGGAAACCCTTAGCCCTTATGCAGCCCGCTTTCCCTAACGCCCTTGTTAAACTCTTGCAAAGTCCACGAAGCCCGTTCCGGACTTCATTCCACATTGGTAGTATATAGGGACTCTCTAAAGCCTGAACCCCTAAACCCTAAACCCTAAACCCCTAAACCCTGGACCCTAAACCCCTAATTAAAACCTTAACCCTGAACCACATAACCCAACTAAAGCCTAAACCCTACACCCTCAAGCTTGCACCCTAAACCCTAAACCTACCCCCTAAACCCTAAACTCCTAAACCCCAGATCCGGTTTCGTCACTTTTGCTGGGGGAAACCCAGGCTGCCCGGCCCCTGACCACCGCCCTGGGCACCGAAAGTTCCCGCGTGTTGGCCATGGGTGAGGCACCGTTTTTGTCGGGGGTTTAGCGTTAAGGGTTTCAGGGTTTAGGGTTTAGGGTTTAGGGTTGAGGGCTGAGGGTTGAGGGTTCAGGGTTAGGGTTTAGGGTTAAGGGTTCAGGGTTTGGGGTTCAGGGTTTAGGGTTTCGGAATTCTTGTTCATAGGGTCTTGCCGGTTAGCTTTTAGGCGTTTAGGTGTCGGCGGTTTGGGGACTTGAGTTTCGGGGTGCGGGATTTTGTCGGGTTCAGGGTTAGAAGGTGCTGGGTGGGCCCGTTTGGTCCTATGTTCGGGTCCTTCTTGCAACATACCTGTGTCAGAATAGGAGCCACAGTTCAGAGCAATGCATGTAACAGACTTGAATCAGTGGTAGCCGTACTGAACTAGAAACTCACTGGAGTAGCATCACGCCCGAAGCGTCCCGAATCCTAGCCCCAGTGTAGGATCACTAGAATCCTGAATCCTTCATCCATTAAAACATAGTTCTTCTGCCAGCCCAACACCATATTTTAGCTATCACGGCCGCTATATCACTCGGACCCCTCAGGCTGCTATACCCAGCGCCTATATGGCCATGACAACCTCAGCCTAAGGTCAGGAAGTCCCTTATAACCTTTAGCCTTCGAAAGGCATCAGTAACATCCAGGAAAACGAACCCCTGAACCTCAAAAGCCCAAACCCTAAATCACCAAATCCTAATCCTCACCACCTCAACCCCAACAAACCTACCTGTTTCAGGGTTTATACAAGGGAACCATACTAAGGAGCCTCAGAAAGATACCCTTCCTAGGGTCCAGGTATACCTTGAACCTTGGCATTTGCCAGGCTCCCGGTTGGCGCTTAGCCCCAGAGTTGCGCGCACGGGATCCCGGTGCAGTCAGGGATTACGGCTTAGAGCTTGGGGTTTAGAATTTGGGGTTGCAGGGTTTAAAAAAATATAGGGGCCTCAATAATTAGAGTAGGGTTTTGGGGCCCATTCTACTATGACTATAATAAGGAACCCTCAGAATGATATAGGTAATTATTTAGGCTTCTATATTAGGTTTATAAATAGGCTTATAGTTCAGGGTTTAGGAATGGAAGATCCCTGAATCAAGCAGCCCTTGGGTTCAAGGTGCAATTAGGTGTTTAGATGGTTTACCCATAGCGCCCCACAGTAGTTTCTTTCTGGGATTACCCAATAATATCCTAAATATAAGTCACAAAAAGGAACTTCTATGGGGTCTATGGGTATAGAGTCCTAATAAACCTTATGTTCTAGGAGGCTTAATGAATGCTATTATTGGCCACAAGGGGTTTAGGGTTTGGGGTTTAGGGTTTAGGGGTATTATAATCCTTTCCCAAGGGTGATTGGGTGCTCATGGAAGGGAAACCGAAACACGGTGTTTGCTGGGGCTGAGGTTTAAGATTTGAGGTGTAGGGTTAGCATATGTTGGGGCTGGCATCGAGCTGCAGATTCTGTAGAGTTCGTGCCTTCCGTGTTTTCAAAGTTTCAGTTTGGGCTTGGAGTTGAGAACACAGTCGAGCAGGTCACATGTAGTGTGATTAGGCCCTAAACCCTAAACCCGTTAACAGGCCCAGGGTTTAGGGTTTCCGCCGGACCCCGGACCCTGAACTTGAACCGCAAAGTAGGGTTCGGGGAGTCTTCACAGACATCCGGAGGTTTTCATAAACTACGGGTCCCCTTTTGGCTGTCCCTTCTGGTAAGGACCCTACTGTGAAGGGTTCCTTGCGGAAGTTCACCCAATCCTCAGCCCAAGACCGTGAGCCCTTTTACTGCGGACTCTTCTGTAGTCTTGAATGAGGATCTATGGGTCTCTCTGGGGTTTAGGGGTTTGGATTCTGGGCTTAAGGCCTTTGGATGTTGGGGTCAGGGTTCCAGACAGCAAGGTGGGCGATCTGTCCCTGGACCGCCCGCTGCTGGATTCGGCAGAGAACTCGAACCTCTTCCTCCGCGTCAGTGTCCTGCTTGGGCACCCAGCTGTACTCTTACGATCACCCTAAACCCTAAACCCTAAACCCTAAGCCCTAAACACTAAACCCTAAACCCTAAACCCTAAACCACGGCTTTCTCTTTTCAAGGTTTGGGGGATTCAAGGTCTAGGGCCTATTGCTTGTCAGGTCTATTCGGGGTTGTGGCAAGGACATGACATGAGGTGACGTTCGTAAGCTCAAAAGCGGCAGCCGTTTCTAGGGGCGGAGCCTTGTTGCGGCATTCTGCCCGGACTTGGAGTTGGTTCAGGGTTTAGGGTTTAGGGTTTAGGGGACCCCTAAACCAGAAACCCCAAACCGCCCACGAAGCGAACCGAGCCTAGAAAAGCTGCTGCGCCGATTCAGAGTTCATTTGCGTCCCACTGCCTGTGCGTCTACCACCTCTTCCGTAAACCAGCTGAAGAAGGCAATGAGAGCCTCGCGAGGATTCCTTAAACCCTAAACCTTAAAAACTTCCTTAAACCCTAAACCCTAAACCCCTAAACCCTAAACCCCTAAACCCCTAAACCCTAAACCCTAAACCCTAAGCCCTAAACCCTAAACCCTAAACCCTGAACCCTAAACTTCCCTAAGACCCTAAACGGATCTCAGGGAAGCTTTGTCACCATCCTGAATGCTCCCGAACTCAGGACAGCGCTGCTCGACCACCCGGCGCGGTTGAGAGCAGGAAGCTCAAGTCAGGGCTCACCCTGCAACCCCAAACCCACAGAAATAGTAGGTTATGGGTTGGAGTTTAGGGTTTATATGGCGCATATATATATATATATATATATATATATATAGATAGCCCCTAAAATTCCTAAAGCAGTAGGTGTTGGAATTGTTCAGGGAGTTCTTCGGGGAGTAGAAGTGTTCGGGTCCGAACCTGACGACCTCCGAGTCAGAATTCATTCAGCGAGTCTCCGGGCTCAGCTGGGCTAAGGGTTTAGGGTTTAGGGTTTAGGGGTTTAGGGGTTTAGGGGTTTAGGGGTTTAGGGGTTTAGGGGTTAGGGTTTAGGGTATAGGGTTTGGGTAAGGATTTAGGTTCCCAGCTCAACCATCGAATGTTCGTGCCCGGTATGGGCTCCACATCAAAACCCGACTTATGCTTCGAGGCCGGGGCCATCAAGGTCCAAACCCTAAACCCTACCTTAAGCTACCAAAACCTACTTTTTTTGTACGGGCCCTATAAATTCTATACTAAGGTTTATAATGAGAACCTACAAAAAAGTACGTTATGGTAGTTTAAGGTAAACCCTGCTCTTATTCACTGTCATACTGGTTGCAAGGAGCTGCTTGGGGCCGTGAAGTTCCGCAGTTTTTGAGCTACCTTTCTTGTATTCGAAAGCCGGCTTCATACTGGGACCCCACAAAATTACCCTAAACCCTAAACCCTAAACCCTAAGCCGCTAGATAATATGAGCAAAACCCATACTATACCACAAACCCCGAAACCCTATTCCAAGCCTTTGGGCCGCTAAAATCTAGAAGCCTATCAGGGCTTAGGGTTTAGTGTTTAGGGTTTAGGGTTTAGGGGACAGGGTTTAAGGTGTAGGGTTTAGGGTTTAGGCTAGATCCCTTTAGAACCCCTCTAAACGCTGAACGCTGCAGTCCTCCGCCCGAGGCCCGAAGCGCTAAGCCCCAAAGGCCCACCCAGAAGCCATATAAGATAGGGTTTAGGGTTTAGGGTTTAGGGTTTAGGGTTTAGGGTTTAGGGTTTAGGGTTTAGGGTTTAGGGTTTACGGTGAAGCCCACAAGTTGGTAACCCCATAGCCTCAATCCTTCAGAGTAATGTATAAGGAATCCCAGCACTGTTTCGGTTTCCAGCTTTTTGAGGTTTTAGTATATTAGGTAATATTCATAGTGGGATTTGGCGAATGTATTATGTCTGGGGTTTTGTTCCGTGGAGACAGTTCGAGATCAGCAAGAAGCCCTACAAAACATGAGCCATATACCCAATAGATAGTTTCAACTAAAACACCGAAGAATCAAGAGCGCTGCCTTAGCAGAACACCCTGACCCGTAGTCCTAGAATCACAAATCCTTCACCTACATCCATAGAGCCTAAACCGGAATTCTGCAGCCTAGACCTATTGGCAGTAACATCTTGAATCCGAAGTCTACTTTTATTTTCGTACACCTGTAAAAGCTTTTTGGTTAAACAAGCCCAAGAACTTAATATAAAGCCCTAAACCCTAAACCCTAAACCCTAAACCCTAAACCCTAAACCCTAAACCCTAAACTTAATATAAAGCAACCAAAAAAGCGCCTCAGAGACCCAGGCTCGGCCGCCCGCGCGCTTCCGCTTCCCCTGGGCTGCTGCCTCGACAGCTTCCAAAGGCTGGTAGTGTACGGGTACTTGGAGGTTCAGGGGTGGGGTTATAAGTGGGGTTATAAGTAGGGTTTAGGGTTTTAGGGTTTAGGGTTTAGGGTTTTAGGGTTTAGGGTTTAGGGTTTAGGGTTTAGGGTTTTAGGGTTTAGGGTTTAGGGTTCATGGGTAGTTACAAACGGGGTTATAAGTAGGGTAACCATAGTTATAACCCATATTAGGGGATTTATAGCCCTTCTTATAACTGCCCCTGAACCTCCAAGTATCTACAACGGTGAAAGGTTTGGGGTGTTGGGGTTTTGGGCTTGGCGGGTTCAGGGCTTCGGGTAATTATGTGCTAGTTTTAAGTTGTAAACCCTCAACCCTACGTCCGAAACCCTAAGCCGTAAGCCCTAAATAACCCCAAGCTCTAATCCCTAAACGCTGTTTGCCATATGTCTTTAAACCTTAATAATACATTCTTTGGCTATGTTGTTCCGTGTTATTTTTTGCAAAATTCAACGAAGCAACCGCCAAACTCAACGAAGAAAACAACATCATATTTAACGAAGGATCGGCCATTCGTTGATGTTGGCGATTTGTTCGTAGAACATGGCTTTGTCCGCCAATTCAGGGCCTAGGGTTCAGGGTTTAGGGTTCCGGGCTCGAGGAGTAGGGTTCAGGGCCTCGGGTTCAAGGTTCAGGGGTTCCGGGGTTGTATCATAGGGTTGAAAGAGTTTTGCAGTTCGCAGATCAGGGTCTAGTTTATAAGCTCTATGTTTCAGGTTGTAAGTTTCACAGTTCAGGACCTAAGCTCTAGGGTTCAAAATAATATGGTCTCTCAATGTTGAGGGTTCCTGGGTGGGTGGGTGGGTGGGTGGGTGGGTGGGTGGGTGGGTGGGTATTTTTCTAGGATCGAAATCGCGGGCTCGACTAGAGACTGCTCGATCCGGAGCTGCCTAACCCGAAGCCCAAAGCCCTAAACCCCAAGCCCTAAACCCCAAGCCCTAAACCCTAAACCCTATAAGCCCTAAGCCCTAAACCAAAATCGTAAACCCTAAGCCCAACCCCAAGTGACACGCAGGGGTGGGCGCCACCTGCGAACCGCCGACCTCCGACACGGCAGCCACCGCGCCGAACTCGGCGGTTGAGGGCTTGGATGGTGCAGGGTTTAGGGTTTAGGGGAGAGATCCCACCCTAAGTTTTGTCTAAGACCGGTTTCTCAATGCTTCAGGTGGTTAGGGGTTTCATCGGGCAATGTGGTTTCATAAGTCCAGGAAGCTGAGCATTAGTACTGAAGGCATGTTCCTCGATTGAAGGGGTATTGGACTCTCGGAAGTTAATGAAGGTTAAAGGTTGAAGGTTTCGGGTGCACTTGGATCGGTCCAGCGGACCAGGGGCTATGCATCAGTGTAGGAGTTGCGAGGCTGGAACAGAGTTAAGAGGATTGTGGAGAGATTCGGACTTGTTAGGACCCCGGTTCGAAAACCGCTATACAGGTAGGGCTGGGTCACAGCGGTCTTTTGGCATCGCGAGCCCTCTTGCAAAGCTCTGCGCCCAGGTCCGCCCCGAAGCAGAAAACTTGGATCCTGTACTAACGGGGGTTGAGGTTTGGGGTTCCGATTCCTGACACCTGAACTGCCCGCACCGATAACGCTGACCCTAAGCCCTGAACATGCAAGCCCCTAGCAGCCAGAACCTTGATCACTGCAACCCAGTTTCTACACCCAAGTGCACAGTTCTCGCTAAACCCGAAACGCTCAAGCCCTCAAACTCCTAAACTAAACCTTAAACCCTAAACCCTAAACCTGAAACCCTAAAGCCTAAATTCTAAAAGCCGAATTCTCGGAGCTTGCCTTCTTCTGTAAAGGAGCTCGCCTGCCACTCCGTTCTGTGCTATGTCAGCGCCTGGACCCTCAGAGCAAGAGCTACATTGACGCATGGGGTTCAGGAGTTTAGGGGGTTTTAGGGTTCAGGGTTTAGGGTTTAGGAGGTACGACCAGGCGAAGACAAAATGCCATGTTTGCTGACCATGAGCAGTTGTCGTCGTCGGGCGGGTTCTTTCGTCGTCTCCGTCGCTGTGGTAGTGGTAGTCGTAGTAGTATCGGTATAAGTAGAAGTAGAAGTAGTCGTCGTCGCCGCCATGCTGGCCTTGTTCCTCATGCGGCTTCTAATTTTTGACGCTACGACTACTGCTTGGAGCCGAAGAACTGAGCCGGAACCGCAAAGTGTAAGCTCTCAGACCATGAGACACCTCAAGGTTTGAAGTCTGCAGGCGTTGGTTCTGCAATCCCCCTCAAACCCTAAAACCCGGAACGTAAATGCCCAAATCAAAAACGCATGAGACCCACAACCTGAAACCCTAAACCTTAAACCGAAACCCAATAGTGAGGATGCAGCATGGCGTGCTCAGGTCACCACGAACGGCGAGGAGGTCCCGCTACCGCACTGCAGCACGCGGGGCACCAAGATGAGTCAGTAAGTCCTTCAATTCAGGCTTAGGGTTTAATTTAATTTAATTTAATTTAATTTAATTTATGAATTATGGAGTCTACAGAGTTCAGGGTTTGGCATGGCTTAGAGTTTCGATTGTATAGTGAGGGCACTGGGATTAGGCTCAGTCGTATGAAAGATGCAAGAGCACGACTTGCGCCAGGACGGCTCTTGATAAGCTGGCAGCCAAGTATGATTCAGAGAAGCAGATCAATAATTAGAATAGGGTTTTGGGGCCCATTATAGTTTTGGGGCCCATTATACTATACTGTAATAAGGACCCCCCACAATAATATTGGTAATTATTTAGGCACCTACAAGATTGGCTTCCATTCTAGGACTTGTTGAGTCGCTAGGTTGTTCGCGAATGCAGGAATTAGCATCGTCTCCCATCTCTTGTCCTGAAAAAACTCTTTCCCCAAGGCACGAAGTACCCAAGCAGTCTCCTGTAGAGAGGTGAGACCTTCGAAGCTTTACTTGGAGGTTCATGGGTAGTTATAAGTAGGGTGATAAGTCCCCTAATATAGGATATAACTATAGTTACCCTAATTATAACCCCACTTATAACTACCCATGAACCTCCAAGTAGTAGCATGTAAGTCTAAAGCTGAGACACCATGCCCTGAATCCCAAAGCTTCGAAGTTAACACCTGAAGCACTTGAATCGCTCGGCCGCATGGCCTGCAATTCCTAACCCCTAAGCCCTAAACCCTAAGCCCTACACCCTAAACCCTAAACCCTAAACCCTAACCCCTAAGCTCTAAGCCCTAAACCCTAAACCCTGAACCCTAATCCCCAAACCCTTGCCCTAAGCAGTGCTGCTGGAAACTCCTGGACCTGAGGTTGGTGGTGGTAGTAGTGGTAGCAGATGGTGATAGAGTAGTAGTAGTAGTAGTAGTAGTAGTAGTAGTAGTAGTAAAAGACCCCAAACCCTCAACCCTAAACCCAGGAACCCTAAACCCTAAAACTCCGAAGCCCTAAACCCTAAAACCCTAAAACTTTAAATCCCTAATCCCTAAACCCTAAAACCCAAACCCCTCAAGCTCTAAAACCCTAAACCCGAAATCTCCTAAACCCGAAACCACCCGAAACCCTCAGACCCTAAACCCTTAAAACCTTAAAACCCTAATAACTCCTATACTCCTAAGCCCCTAAGCTCTTAAGCAAAGGTCTGACGACCAGCTCGGCTGCTGCTATGGGCCCGGGACTTCCGGGGCCAGCGTCTACGTTCAGCCTGGGGGCCCCAGAACCCCGGGATTCGTGTAGGTTTTGGGTTCAGGGTGTAGGGTTTTCGGTTTTTGAGGGCTTAGGGTTTTGGGTTCAGGGTTTAGGGTTTTCGGTTTTTGAGGGCTTAGGGTTTTGGGTTCAGGGTCTAGGGTTTTCGGTTTTTGAGGGCTTAGGGTTTTGGGTTCAGGGTTTAGGGTTTTCGGTTTTTGAGGGCTTAGGGTTTTGGGTTCAGGGTGTAGGGTTTTCGGTTTTTGAGGGCTTA